GTAATATATTAGGATAAAGTTATATAGGAAAATAGAATGTAAATAAAAGAGAAAAAGGAACAGTGTGAAATTTTCATCTGTTCAAGAATAGTCCATGAAATTTTAAATGGACAACGATGGGTTTCAAAATCACTCTGATATTTAGGATCTATGGGATACACTTGAAAAAGTAATATAGCATTTAAAATGTCAGTTTTTTACAGTATACTGGAAATCACATTCTTGAACATATGGTGAAGATTTTGATGTCAACTGAAAATGTGCCAGAGGGTACATCATTGTTTTTACAATGGTATCAGTGAATATCCTAGCAAAATAGTTGCCAGCCACCGACTTTTTGGGTCCCAGTTCTGCCGGCTACTGGTGTACTTGAACTTCTGGCTTTGGAGATGAGTAAGTGGAGCAGCTTCAGACTCCTCCTCATGAGTCTTGGGAGGAGGCCTGAAGTATGGCACCTGGCCAGCGTTGTCTTGAGTCTTCTGATGTACACTCACTCTGCTGTCTGTTGGACCGTAGCCCATCCATCAGAGCTTTAGACTTGAGTAGCTTCTGTCCTGCTAGCCCCTGGTTGTGATCCACCAGTTCAAGCACTGGAGGGTGTGTGCATGTCTGTATCGGGGGAGGGGAGTTCACCTGCCAGTAGAGTGTGTGTGTGTGTGTGTGTGTGTGTGTGTGTGTGTGAGTGAGAGAGAGAGAGAGAGAGAGAGAGAGAGAGAGAGAGAGAGAGAGAGGTAGCTGAGACCCACATTAATACACCAGTTTCCTCTCTTGAGACTAGGAAGCACCAACCTGAGCAGCCTGCACAGTATTTTCATTGACTTGGTCCTATTGCAGCATGTGTCAATTCTTCCCTTTTTAAGAGACAATAGCAGGAAGGCAGGGCCACAGGCACTAGGTGAAGGTTAGGGTAGAAGTTTTTTGTTCCTTTCTGTTGTATACATTAATGCTACAGTACCAGAGTCTCACACCCCTGTTAAGCTTTGAAGCCAGCCAGATTTTGAATCAGGTACTTTTTAATAGCAATGTGTCCTTGGGTAAAATGTCAAATCTCTGAAAGCCTCAGTTGTGATGGTTAAATGATGTAAGCATGTAGAATGCACATTGTCATCATCTAACCAGTAATTTTTATTATTAATATTTTTATCTGGATGAGGTGGATTGGGTGGTAGGTAGGAAGGCTTCCCTGGGGAGATACAGCCTAAATTTCCCCTGGGTAGAGAGTGGAAGAGCCAGCCAGGCTACGAGTGGGTGAAAGGAGAGGTCATTTTATGCAGAGGGAACACTATACTGGATCTGGTAAAGGCTGAGGAAACTTGGTGCAGGGAATTCAAGAAGGTCAGTAGGGCTGGGTGTGAGTTAGGAGGGATGGGGAAATGTATTTGTTCTAAGTAAGGCTGTATTTTGTTGGTGTGGTTAAAGAATGAAAGAATACTTTTTGGAGATTCTTGCCTTCTTCTGCCATAAGCACTTGTTTTTGAGTCTAATGAGCTTCCCCTCTAAACTCTTCCAGTGACTTCCCATCACTTACAAGATACAGTTTTAAAACTTTATCATATTATACTTGACTCATATAATTGTCTCTCACAAGCCACAACGGACTGCTTTTAATTCCCCAAATGCACTGTTCTTCATACCTCCTGCCTGGACATGGGCCTTCACCCTGGAATTTCCTTTCTCACTGCGTCTTATGGCTAATTCCTCCTCATCCTTCAGGATAGTGGATGATATAAAAACATCGGCAGTGTTCCTAGGCTAACAATCCTTTCATACACTAAGGCTAAAAGGAACTGTGCAAGATTAATAATCTTTACTAAGGGATCTGAAAGAAAGATGAATAAATACTGTGGTTAGTTTTGGAAGTACTGAATACAATAAACATGCTAATTCTTCCCAAATTTAGTGTATTTAATACAATTCTAATCAAGGTTACTATCTAGCTACACAAATATTTTATAATTATTTTAAACTGACTACCTGACTCTAAAGATCATCTGAAAGAATAAACATGAAGTAGTTTTGGAAATTATGAAGAAAGAAAAAAATAAGAATGAAGATTTGCCCTGTCAGATATTAGCCAATTGGAAGTTTCCTACCCTTGTCAGTTAAGGGGTGGCACATGATGTAAGACAAGCCACTCCAGTCTATTCGTTATGATTCTAACCATTGTTTCCTTGTTACTACATGGCTTAAACCTTGGGTAGATTTTTACCCAGTTTGCAGAGTAAGGTTAGGATGGACTTACATAAACTTTACATTAGTGGCATTCACAGATTTCCCTTTGAGGTGCATTTTAATGCAGTGGTCCCCACAGCCTATTCTTGGCATCGCAGTATCAGTATCCGTGAGACCTAACTAGAAATCCAAATTCTCAGGCCCCACCTCAGACCTCCTGAGTCCAAAACTCTGGCATTAGCACCTCACAATCTTTTATGGACACTTGATGCAGGCTAAAGTTGGTGAAGCACATCACTAAAGAAAGGGTTTGTCGTCCTCACAGGGGTCCTCAAACTTTTTAAAGGGGGGGCCAGATCACGGTCCCTCAGAGAGCTGGAGGGCCGGACTATATGAACTACTAATTCCTACTGTAACACCTCGGCTGCGCTCACTGCCCAAAAAACCTGGCGGGCCAGATCAGACTCCTCTGCGGGCCGCAGTTTGAAGACGCCTGCTAGAATACTGAAACAGACGCATTGGGCTCCTAAGACGCACCATCATAATAAAAAGGAGAAAGCAGACTTACAGATAAGCCCCTGATGGAAATTCATGTGGCACACTTCAAGTCACAGATGTTGCATTTCAATTCAGCCATTCCTCACATGGACAACTGCAGCGTGAGCAGCAGCTGGAATTTATTTAATTGACGATGGTTAATGAGGCTGCCAAATAACTTGGCTAGAAAGGTCAGCTGGTAGAGCAATTAAATATTTCCTGCTGTATCATCTGCCAGTTGATGTGAACCTATGATTGTCAAGAGATCTAACTATTGGACTAAATAAAACATTAAGAAGTTAAATTTGCTGCAGGAAGGGGTGAGAGCCTGCACCATTCATAAGTGATTTTTAAGCCGTCCACTGATCACTTCCGTGACTGTAACTGTACAGTTCACTGTACTTAGCTTTCCACACTCTTATCTTCATAAGGAAAATTTTAACACTCATAATTTAAATACCCTTTAAAGAAAGTAATTTTTCTTCTGATATTAATAGTCTCAGGTTTATCTCTAAGAAAATCACTTCCTTGTGCAAAGAATGATTGACTAGAATCTACTTTGATGGATTTAGAGATATGTAAAGGCAGGCCATGTTTTTTGTGTTGGTCTTATTTATTTTTTTTTTTGGCAAGATATTCTTCAGGGAGGGACTAAGCTGAGGCAAGTGAGGCATTCCTCAACTATGCAGAATTTTAAGGGCACCTAACATTTATATATATATATCTCATATAATAAAAAGTTAATATTCAAACCAACCGGACAGCAAAACGACTGGTTGCTATGATGCACACTGACCACCAGGGGGCAGATGCTAAACACAGGAGCTGCCCCTGGAGGTCAGTGCACTCCCACAGCAGGAGTGCCGCTTAGCCAGAAGCCCTGAGCCGGTTCATAGCTGAGGAGAGCAGCGGCCTGTGGCAGGAGCCTCTCCCACCTCCACAGCAGCTAAGGATGTCAGAATGCCAACAGTGGGACATCCCCCCAAGGGCTCCCGGACTGTGAGAGGGCACAGGCCGGGCTGAGGGACCCCTCCCCAAGTGCACAAATTTTGTGCACTGAGCCTCTAGTGTGTGTGTGTGTGTGTGTGTGTGTGTGTGTGTGTGTATAAAATATATATATATAAAATATGCAAATTTGTTCGGGATGCCTTAACATTCACAACCATCTCCAAGCCCTAACAGTCACGATTGGCGCTGCTCGGAGCACGCCTCCACCCTAGTGGACACACACAGGGGTGCCTCTGAATGTGAGCTGCAGAGGAAACGTCTTTTCTGACTGCTCATTGGCTAAGCTCCCTGTATGCCACTAGTAATATTCTTGGTAACTTGGGTAATAAGAATCCAAGAAGGTGATCTAGGGTTTTTCCACTTCACTTCTGGAGGAAAAAATGAAGGTCTGCTGCTGGAGGGGCTAATAAATGTCATATCCTACCCTAGCCTGTTTGGCTCAGTGGATTCTGCCTCGGCCTGCTGACCACAGGGTCCAGATTCAATTCTGGTCAAGGGCATGTACCTAGGTTGCAGGCTCCTCCTTGTCCGGGGCCCAGTTCAGGGCTCATGCCAGAGGCAATCAATCGAAGTGTCCCTCTCACATTGATGTTTCTCTCTGTTTTTCCTTCTCCCATGCTCTCTAAAAATCAATGGACACATATCCTCAGGTGAGGATTAAAAAAAAAAAAGAAAGAAAGAAATGTCGTATCCTATGAAAAAGACATCTTGAAAATGCCTAAAGAAAGTTGTCATTTTTTCATGGTGAAGGGATGAGTCCATGTTGATGAAAACACCTTGGCAGCTGTGGCGGCCGGCAGTGGCAGCAGCAGCAGGTGATGGGGGGGAGCTGCCTTCTCCTGATCAGCCCGGTCACCTCCCACAGAGAGAGGCCAGACTGCAGCTTAGGCCAGCTCCCTGTTAGTAGGACATTCCCTGAGGGCTCCAAACTGTGAAAGGGGACAGGCCAGGCTGAGGGATTATCCCACCCCAGTACATGAATTTTGTGCACCGGATCTCTAGCTTTACCTATAATCAACATAAATAATATTTTAATGGCTAAAATTGATATAAAAGGAAAAACCAAAGATGAACAAAATGTCAAAGATTTAAATAAAGACAGGATTATAAATGCTGGGTTGAGCCATTTTGGAGCCTGAGGCGAAAGGAAAGTCATTAATACTGATCTTGGCTCTGAAAATCTCAGGTAAGTAAAATATAAAACTAGGACCAGGGTTCCTAGATTAGTAATACAAAATTGTTTTAGTGTTTATAATAATATTCTTTTGTTTTTGTATTTCTAGGGATATACTAACATCTCCATCATGCTGGCAACATGCTGTCCTCCTTAACCGATTCAGTTACCCTTTTGAACTGGAAAAGGATTTACATTTCAAGGGCTATCACACACTCTTCCAAGGATCTTTACCCTATTATCCTAAATCAATGAAGTGTTATCTTAGCAGAATTCCCCACCGGATGCCTTCAGAAAGACACCAAATTGGAAGCCTAAAAAAATACTATCTCCTGAATGCTGCCTCTCTTCTCCCAGTACTGGCTCTTGAGTTAAGGGATGGAGAGAAGGTTCTGGATCTGTGTGCTGCTCCTGGAGGAAAATCAGTCGCTCTGCTGCAGTGTGCTTACCCAGGTAGTATGCTTTTCTTTCAATTATCAACCACTTTTCAATGTCCATCTTATAAAGTGCTTTTAAAATATCTTGGGGAGAAACATAAAATTGAGTTTGCAGACTTTGAAAGCATGAAAACCAGGACAATATAGAGAGAATGGAAATTTTAGCTGAGGAAATCAATGTAAATAACATTTTTTCCCCAGTTACTTAATAATGGTAGGTAATTGGGAACAAAATTACATTTTGGAAATAAAAAATCTATCAATATGAATTCTGATAAACCAGTAACAAAGATTTTAAAAATTTTATTACATTTATACTTGAGTCATATTGACTTCCTTGTCATACTATTATGAAGCAAAAACATACACCTTTAAAATAAGTTTTTGGTATCATTAAATCATACAATTCTATGGCAGTTCTGTCCAATCTTATATAATAAAAGTCCAGTGACTGGCTAGCGGAATGATCAGAATGATTGGTCGACCAGTTGCCATGATGTGCACTGACCACCAGGGGACAGCTGCTCATGCAGGGGCTGCCCCATGGTGGTCAGTGTGCTACAACAGTGGGAGTGCCACTGCTCCTGCTGCAAACCACAGGCCGATGGGTGGAACTGGGCTGTGATTGTTCTCTTCACCCCAGGCTCCTCCTCCTTGCTCTCTGCTGCCTCATCCAGATGCCCGCAGGCTGCTCAGTGCTGTCGCTGGGCTAGCAGTGCTGACCCTGGAGGCTGGGAGAGGGGTTCGTGGCTGCCACGGGACTCTGCCTCGTCCCAGTGGTATTATCCCCGTCTCCTGGAGCGGTGAGTGCTCCGGCTCCACAGAATGTACTGGACCAGGGAGCAGCCGCTCGGCTGACTGGAATGAGCAGCGCTCCCACAGCGGGCCGATCCCTGCAGGCCATGCCCCTCACCAGCGCACAAATCCCACGCACTGGGTCTCTAGCAGAAATATAGTGTGACGTGTACATATCATTTAAAACTTTTGAGTAGTCTTTGTGGGGGCTAAACAAATAGTTTTATGTTTTTCCCCAGTTAATAATTGTGAGGAACGCTCACTTGTCCAAATTCAAATACTGGACTCGGAGACAGGAATGGCGAAAATAAGACTTTTTAAATGTGGTCTTGCAGGATCAGGTGTCTGGTTGAACAGGCACACACTTGGAGCGGTGATCACAGGCTATTTATTCCTAGTGTGTGAGAGTCCCTCCCCCAGTTCCTCACTGGTTGAGAACTATGGAGTTAACAGTTTTCCTCATATGTTGTCTAGGTCTATTTTCTCCCATTGGGTTACCTATATATATAAAAGCCCCCAAAACTGTTAGGACCAGTTGATCAAACGACCTGTCAACCAGTTGCTATGATGCGCACTGACCACTGGAAGACGATGCTCAATGCAGAAGCTGCCCCCTAGTGGTCAGTGTGCTTTTACAGCCAACCTCCAGCAGCCAACCAACTTCCCATGTTCCCTCACCCCAGACTGGGTGAGACAGTCCTGATTGGCTCTGATTGCCAGCAAGGCCTAGGGACCCCACCCTTCACAAAATTTGGAACCATCTCAATTACAAAAGGCTGTGTCTGTCACCTATCCTGTTTCCCCGAAAATAAGACAGTGTCTTATATTAATTTTTTCTCCCAAAGTTGCGCTATGTCTTATTTTCAGGGAATGTCTTATCTTTCCATGCGCTAGGTCTTATTTTCGGGGAAACTCGGTAGTTGTTGAATTCATTCACTTTTTCAGCCAAGGCTCCAATGTGTGGAACTTTGGTGTTTTGGTGGCTTCTTCACCCTGGCCCCATTTTCAGTAATAAGGTTCTCGATGGGTAGGAAGTTGGTTCCTCATATGTAAAGTTGGTGAAGGGCCATTGGGAAAGGAGGTGCCCTGACTCAAGCCTTCTCCTCCTTTAGGAAGTTGATCTGAAAATTGATTCTTACGAAACTGTCCAAGCCCATCTATCCCTTAGAACATTGTATGTGTCCTCGGGCCATGCGTATTGCAGTTTGAAGACTGCTAATTTATATCTCCATTTGAGAGCATTCCCTGTCGAAACAGATTATAAACATTTTTATAAGAACCAGGAATCCAGTTGTACTAAGCATTGGTACAAATATTATATATGTTAACAGTGTATTTAGGAGCAAACTTCCTGTGTGTTTCAGAATTGTGGTCAAAACTCTGATATTGCAGCTTGCTGATTTTTATGTAAGAAATAACAAAAGAGAGTTTTTTTGTAATAATTTAAGCTGAAGTATTATGGAATCATGTGTCATAAGGAGTACTGGGCTTTACTTTCACTCTGTATTCTTTGACAGTATTCTTATTTTGGCTGTTGCATCAGTTTTGAAAATAAAAATTTTAGTATTGCAAAAGATGGAAAAGAAATGTCGATTTTTGGTACCATTTTGAAGAGAGGGCATTTTAACCTTAAATTATCTGTATTAGTAGGCTGTAAATATTTCACATGCTTCTGTTACGGAAGATGATTTGAAGGTGATTGAGGAATCCTAAGACAAACTGATATATTCTAGGACTTTGATATAGTCTTCTGTTCTTACATCAAGGGTAATGAACTACAGGCAGTGGTCCAAGTAAAGTGGCTTTTCATCTAAGTAGGACTAATGATAATGGTTTACTAAGAAGTACAGATGTCTTCATGCTGATGCTCAAAGCCCAAATTAGGTTAGCTACAGTGCTTGAATTTGGAATGCAGAAGCAATGCTAATCAAAGCTTTTATAAGCAAAATTTAAAGTGATGGCTTGGCTAAATGTGCATTTATATACCAAATTTCTTTGGATCAGTACTGAACTTTGTTCTGGGCTAAGAGGCTTACAGCTTTGAAGGATTAAAAAGCTCATATTTTAGGTTGATTAAAAAAAATTATTCTACTTCTCTGTTGGTCCATCTGCTCCCACTCGTAAGCACAGTAATGGACTATCCATTGGTTTTGTTGTTGTTTGTTTTGGTCAACATAGTCTGTGATAAGTCCTGGTCTTGACAGAAAAAGAGCAAACAGTTCAGATTCAAAAGAGAAAAACATTAATACATGAAGAATGACCTACCTTGGCAGAGTGGCTTGATCAGTTTCATGCTGTATCTCTCCAGGCATGAAATTCTCTTTGTTGTTAGTGATATATTTTTGACATGAGGTTAATCTTTGGTGATAGAAAAGATTAAGAAGATTCCTTTCATTACTGTGAATTGCTCTTGGCTTCCTTCATACCATATAGGTGCTATTTCTCCCCTCTTTTTCTGCCTACACCTTCACATGCTTCAGGTTTTCACTCAAGAATCCACTTCCTGCCCTAACCGGTTTGGCTCAGTGGATAGAGCGTTGGCCTGGGGACTGAAGGGTCCCAAGTTTGATTCCGGTCAAAGGCATGTACCTCGGTTGTGGGCACATTCCCAGTGGAGGGTGTGCAGGAGGCAGCTGATTGATGTTTCTCTCTCATCGATGTTTCTAACTCTCCCTCTCCCTTCCTCTCTGTTAAAAAAAAAAAAAAAAATCAATAAAATGTATTTAAAAAAAAAAAAAAAGAATCCACTTCCCTAAATTCCCTGCATTAGATGCATCTTCTTTGTGGGACAATAAAAATAAAAACCAACTTGGAACATTGCATAAATCTGTGTTTTTCAAACATTTTTATTAGTCTCTGTTTCCAGCATCTTAGATTTCATCTCCTTATAAACATCTTTCTGAAGTCCTAGGGCTCCGAGAAACACAGTATATACATCTCATTTAATGCTGCAACTCATTTTTTGAGCATTGTCCCCATTTTAAACAAAACAGAGAGAAATTGCTTAAATTGCCCTAGGTGAGTGGCAGAGCTGGCATCTGAACTCAAGTTTTCACTAAAATATTAGCTCTTGCTCTTGAGCTACATTATCCCAGTGTTACTCAACTGCTGTCTTGTCCAACATCCTCCATTAGCCAGCTCCTGGAGGCTTACCTTTGTGTCTGTAACAACTACACGGTGCCCAGTCCATTACAGGTGCTTAATAAACCAGAACCTTAAAGTATTTATACTCTCATATGTATTTTAAAATTCTTTATTACCATTTTGTATTTTTGTGTAAATTTGTTACATTGTTTCCAGATATCCCTTTCATCATGTTTACTATCGATATACCGTCAGTATCATTATTTTAATTTTTACATAGAAAAGGACACATAAAACAATCATATTAGGAGGAAACACCATACGGTTTTCCACAGTGGTTACTCCAATCTGTATTCTCACAAATAGTGCGTAAGAGTTCCCTTTTCTCCACATCATTGCCAAAACTTGTTGTTAATTTTATTGATGATAGCCATTCTGACAGGTGTGAGGTGATATCTCATTGTGGTTGTAATTTGCATTTCTCTGATGATTAGTGATGTTGAACATCTTTTCATATGTCTGTTGGCCATCTCTTTGTCCTCGTTGGAGAATTGTCTACTCAGGTTCTTTGTCCATATTTTAATTGGGTTATTTGGGTTTTTTTGGTGTTGAGTTTTAAAAGTTATTTATAAATTTGAATATTAACCCCTTATTAAATGTATCAGTGATTATGTTCTCTTATTCAGTGGGTTATATTTTCATTTTGTTGATTTCCATTGCTGTGCAAAGACTTTTTAGTTTGATTCAGTCTTTTTTGTTTATTTTTTCTTTTATTTCCTTTGCCCAAGGAGATACATCAGAAAAAATATTGCTACGAGAGATGTCTGAAATATTACTGCCTAAGTTTTCTTGTAGGATTTTTATGGTTTCAAGTCTTAACATTAAGGTTTTTTAATTTTGAGTTTATTCTTATATATAATTTAAAAAGGTGGTCTGTTTTCATTTTTTTGCATGTATCTGTTCAGTTTTCCCAGCAGCATTTTTTGAATGGACTATTTTTACCCCATTGTATGTTCTGGTCTCCTTTGTCAAATATTAGTTGATGATAAAGGCCTGGGTTTATTTCTGGGCTCTCTGTACTGTTCTCTTAATCTGTATGTCTGTTTTTAAATTAAAAAATGAAATTGCCTTATACCC